GAAGTTGCTCTTCATCTCTGAGCTGGCACCTTCCCCCACCCACCCTGGTGGTCGGGGTCGAGTTTGGGCGTGGCCTTGGCCTATTAAAAACTCAGCTCCATTTTATTACAGCTCCAGGTAGAGACAGTTAAAATGTAAGTCCCCATTTATATTCAAAATTAACTAAACTCTGGATTAATCCGCGCAATCGCAAAGGGCGGGAGGCGTGCAGCCGCGGATAGACCCCGGGCGCTGCGCTCTGGATGCGGAGGCATTTAGGAAGTCCTTTACAACTTGCAGTCAAAGAGGTTAATTGAAAAATTTCTTAACGTCATTATGAAAGAACTAGATTAACCCGAGTTAATTCACTTTATTGTTCAAAATAAAGAGGCATAAGCACTGAACTCACTTGCAAATTTGGGGCGTGAATTAGGGGCGAGATGTTGTCTTTGCGGGCTGTGCCAGTTTAATTAAGATATGGAAAATTACTTATTGTTCTTCACCACTAAAGTGCTCGGAATTAACAGGCAGACGCCGCGCCCGGGCCTTTCATGGCTGTGCCGTGTGTTTGTTTAATACCCACAAGACGCCGTCATTAAGCCGCAGGCACGGACGGGCCCCTGGCACCCCCGGCTGCCCGCAGCCCCAGCCACAGGCGCCCATGGTGAGGCCGGTGACTTCGGCTGGGGCTCCGGGCAAACTTTAAAAACCCCCGTGGCCCTCTCTGCCTTCCTCCGTGGCAGGGCAAGACAGGGTTGCCGGGGGGTTCTCGGGGTCTCCCGCCCGCAGCGTAACTGAATTTACCGCTTTCTCGGGGGCGCACTCCATTCCTCCAGTGGTCACTGCTTTTCTCTTCTTTCAGGAAGTTTTGCTCAAGAGGGCAGCCGACCTGGTGGAAGCCTTATACGGGATGCCCCACAACAACCAGGTAGGCGGTGGCGGAGGACACCCCCCCTTCCCGGGGTGACCGGGGCCCGTGAACACCCAGCGGGCCTGGGCACAGCCACTGACCACAAGGCGGGAGTGGGGCAGCCTCCCGGCGTGTGTGTGCCCTGCCTGATGCTGAGTGTTCAAGCAGGAGATGGCAGGTCAGGGTCAGGGACCAGAGCAGGATTTGCCTCAGGAACAGAAGCTCCTTGGCATCCACCCAGTGGGCTCAGGGGCTGGTGGACTGTGGGTGCTGGCGGGACTCGTGGCACAGGGGCTCTGGGGATGTGCCCCTGCTCTGCCCCGGTGTGCCCTGCGGGGGCCTTTGGGCTGCAGGTGTGGAATATAGGGTGCCGTCCCAGAAGCACCCTGAACGACCTTCCTCAGGGAATTCCTTGCCCCATTGAAAAGGCAGTTGTCAGTCTGCCCCAGGGATGGTGGCGGGGCGGGGGCTGGGGCTGTGCTCCCGGGGGCCTGCCGGCTCCACGCAGACCGGGCGCTGGGGGGCGGCCCCCGAGCCTGGCCTCCGGTGACGGGCTCCCCTCCTGGCCAGGAGATCATCCTGAAGAGGGCGGCTGACATCGCGGAGGCGTTGTACAGTGTCCCTCGCAACCACAACCAGATCCCCACGCTGGGCAACACCCCCGCGCACACGGGCATGATGGGCGTGAACTCCTTCAGCAGCCAGCTGGCCGTGAACGTGTCCGAGACATCGCAAGCCAACGACCAAGGTAGGTGGCCGTGCAGGGCGGACCCCTTCCCGGACCCTGCTGGGGGTGGTTGAGAGTTGGCCACAGCTGGCCTGTCCCCAGTCCCGCGGGGCGTGGGCCGTGCCCGGTCCTCTGCGGCTCTGCCCACAAGCGCCGTGCAGAGAACGGAGGCCCCAGGACCCCTGTAGCAGCCGTGTCAGCTTGCACTCAGGGTGTGCTATTTGCTAGAGGTTTCCTTGAATTTATCTGTGAGCCACCTGGCTTTCCTGAGTCTGGGGTGAGCCACAGGGTAGCTGGGATGGGTCAGTGGGCGGGGCTCTCCTCAGATACGCTGCGTGGGTGGGATTTGGTTTCTCAGTCTGTCATGAGCAAGTGGAAAGAAGTGCCTGTTCCCCACCACGCCCCCATCCCAGGCCGGGGCAGTGGGGTGCAGCCCCTGCTGTCAGCCGGCTCTTCAGGCCCGCGTCAGCCCCCCTTACACATCCTGTAGGCAGTCGCCCCAGAGGCAGCTCAGCTGTGCTGCGGGGGGAGGCTTCTGCGCACCCCGTGGCGGGAGGGAGCCCTTTCCCGGCCCCTCCCCCACACTCACAGCAACCGCAGCTGGAAAAGTGACCCCCCACACACAGCCTTTTACGGGGCGTCTGGCCACAGACAAGCGCTCCTCGTCAGCCATGGCATTTGAGGGTCTGCGGAGGCGTGGGTTCACCTAGTGGGGCCCGACCGGGAGCCTGAGCTGTTGGTAATTGCTTCTAGTGAGACCCGCAAGTGGCTGACGGTAGATCGAAGCGCGCTTCCGGCCGTCCAGGCCAGCAGGGACGGCCGGGCCTGGCGGCCACACGCGCAGCCAGGGGTCGGCGTGACGAGGCTGTCGGAGCTGCTAGGGGCGCGGGGGCACCAGCACCGCAGGAGGTCGATGAGAAATGTTTACTATATGATACAGATTTGCGGGGAAACCCCCCCAGTGTCTCTCCCTGATAATAATGTTATTTTGGGCCGGGGGGGCGGGGGGGATTTTAACAGTCGGCTACAGTCGCAATACAAGCAGCGTGTCCCCGCGAGGCTACGTCCCCAGCAGTACTCCCCAGCAGTCCAATTACAACACAGTGAGCACTAGCATGAATGGATATGGAAGTGGCGCCATGGCCAATCTAGGGGTCCCTGGCTCGCCTGGATTTCTTAATGGCTCCTCCGCTAACTCTCCCTACGGCAGTAAGTGTCTGTTTTTGTCACACGTCATCGCACAGATTCATTTTCACTCAAAGTCAAATGTGTGCATTGCTTGGATGTTCTGTGATGTGAGCTACTGGACACGAGGAAGGGTGGCTGTGGAGGCTGGGCGCCCACCTGGCGACAGGAAATTGACCTCAATCGGGCCCCATGCGATCGCATTGGAAACCCAAACCCAAACCCAAACCCAATCGGAATGACACGGGACCGCCCAATTGGAACCGAGTCCGACACAGCGTTTGCCTGTTGTCCAGAGGGGCCACGCGGAGCCTGGCGTGCGTGCCTGGCCCCGCTGCCCCCCCCGGCCCGCGGGTCTCTGTGTCTGTGCCGCACGGCGCCGCGCGTCCTGACCCTGTTTGCTTTGTTGCAGTAGTGCCGTCCAGCCCCAACATGGCAGCCTCTTCGGTCACCCTCCCTTCAAACTGTAGCAGTGCCCACGGCATTTTCTCATTCTCACCTGCCAATGTCATCTCTGCAGTGAAACAAAAGAGCGCCTTTGCGCCCGTGGTCCGGCCCCAAGCCTCTCCTCCTCCCTCCTGCACCAGCGCCAACGGGAACGGACTCCAAGGTGAGGGCGGTGCGCGCCTGGGGCCGGGCGGGGCGGGCTCCGGGAGCCCTGGTGGGACTGTCCCCAGGGCCTCCCGCGGGCAGGCTGGGCCGCGAGGCCAGGGTGGAGACCATGCTGGGTGTGTCCCTGGGCGGCAGGAGTCCTGGCCCTTCCTTTGGCACATTCTCGGAGGCCTGGCAGCGCCCCCACCATTGCATGCTCCCTGCGGTCCCCCTCGAGGCGTCCCTACCCCAGCCCGGTCCTCAGAGATGACACCCAGATTCCTTACCTCCCAGCACAGCCTGTGTCCTCCTGGTGCAGCTCAGGGAAGGGAACCCCCTGGGGAGGCAGGAGCAGGTCTGCGTTCAGACCCTTCCTGTGCACAGGCCTTCAGGGCCACGGTTGCCAGAGCTGGCGCAGGCCCCGCTGGGCACAGGCTCCGCCAGGCACAGGCCCCGCCAGGAGCTCCTACGGTCACAGCCTCCTTATTCAGAGGCAGCGGAGTACCCCAGGGCTCGGTGGAGGGTCAGTGTGCCCCTGCCGGGCCCATCTCAGAGCAGCCTGCCCTCTGGGGCCTGGACCAACAGGCCAGAGCCCCTCCCGGCCGGGCCGTCCTTGCAGAGGGCAGTGGGCCTGGGCCGTGCCAGGCGGAGCTGGTTTCTAAGTGTCTCCTCCAAAGACTCAAGGAGAAGGGCTGGCCCCGAGGGCAGAGGGAGGCGCCGCCCGGACACAGCTGCTCACAGCTGGGACATGCTAAGCAGGCCCCCAGCGCCGCCTAGGGCTGGGTCCCCCGGGCAGTGGCCTGTGCTGCGTGTGGCAGGCGGGGCCACGTGGGCGCCCACTTGCCCGTGGCTCTGGGGTGCCCTGAGGCCCCAGGCGTGAGATTCAGGGCCATCCTCTGGCCTTTTTCAGACACCTTTGGTCTCTGCTCCTCCCGGTGAAATCCAATCCAGTAACTCCTTTAAACACACGAACCCCTTCCACCAGTATTTACTGAGCGCCTACTATGTGCCAGGCTCTCTGCTGGGTGCTGAGGACGTCCCCGTGGAGAAGACTAACTGGCCCTTTTGTGAAGTCGGTGGCATATTTCACTTTGATGAACTAATGCTCAAAAAAGGACCTGGAAAGGTATCAGTGATTTGAAATAATTGTCTTCACAACACCTGTCAGTGTGTGAGAGGGACGCCCGGGCCCCAGCGCTGCTCGCAAGGCCAGGGCCTTGGCCTGCCCGCCCGCCGCCCACGGGGCCGGGCCCCTTGCGAGGTGGTGTCACGTGAGCCCTGTGTACACACGCGGGGCTTCCATAAAGTTGTAACGGTGAGTCGGAGATAAATTAATATTGTTGGAATTAATGAGCTGGGAAATTGAAGCTCGCATCACTACATGAACAAATGTATTAATGTGCGATACATAAATTAATAAGAACCATCGTTCTGACAAAAATTAAACAACACGAAAGTTAAAAGATTTCAAATGACATTCGTGCCAGGAGTCCACCGGAAGGCGCCCGCTGCCCTGGGCCTTTTGGCACCGTTTCCTCTCTCCTTCCGAGAAGAGAGGAGAGGACTCCCCGAGGCCAAGCGGGGACTTGCATCTCTCTGGGGCCCTGGCCATGCCGTGGCTTTGATGTTGGGGGCCCACGACTCACCATTACGATACCCAGCAATCAGCAGAGGGGAGCCTGAGGCGTGTCCCGGCTTCGCCTAGGGAGAGAGAGCAGGTTGGTCCATTCTGTCTACAGAGGTGGCCTCTGGGGAGTCTGGGCCTCCGTCCGCTACACACAAGCCACTGCGGTGTGTCTAGCACAGCCTCCCCCGCCCCCCAGAAAGGCCGGAGACCCCTCCCCCCTTCCACAGGAGCGCTTGAGCAGGGTCTGTCCCCATGTGGACCCCATCCCCTGAAGTAGGTCCCCCCACACCTTAACCGAGCCCAAGGCTGGTTAATGGAGCGCTATGCAGCCCCCAGGACATGGAGGAGTAAAGCAGAGAGGAGGCCGGCCCCGCCCGCCCGCCCGCCCCCCGTAACCCTCTGCTCCCTCTCTTTCAGCTATGTCTGGGCTGGTAGTCCCGCCGATGTGAGGGACCTCTGTTTGCCTTCCGCAGCACCCAGCACCCCGGGACGGACTTCAGGGGACACGTTGAGTGTATTGAGACATGCTGGTGGAGACCGTATCTTCAAATACGTCAGCAGCAGTCGAAATGCTACGAAAGACGTTGTTTAAAGATTTTATTTAAACTATTAAGAGCCGACATGCAAACAGCCTACTTCTTCATGAACGATTCCATTTTACTGACTGAACTTTTCATACATTTTCACACGTCTCGGTCCCGAAGAACAAGGAGAACAAAGCGGCGCCTATTTTGTATAGAGTTTCCGACTCCGTCTTGGCTGTGTCTAGTACTTGCTATGTGTTGGGAGAAACTTTGTGAATGCACCATTTTGATGCTCATGAAACACTGAGGAAAAATGCCTGCGGACATTTTTCTGTATCATCCTTAGAGTCACAAGGGTTGTGTATCTCTATAATGTGAAATATTTTTTTGTGGTGAACCAAGGGGGCCAAGGAGGTGTGAGCCATCGACCCGGAAGAGAGGATGACTATATGATTCGAGTTGGGGGTGGCAGGGAGGGAGGGAGGGCTTACCATTGCTTACCTTCATCTTAACGAAATGAAACTTTGTAACTTATTGTAGTTAGAAATTGTAACTTTGATATTGAATTCTCTTGCCTTCAACAAGCACACTGACAGAGAAAAAAAAAATGCTACTGTCTGTTGGTTAAACTATTCTCCCACTGCTAGAGCTTCCTGTTAAGCAAGCGTGATCTGCGACATTTTTCCACTTTTGCTAGTACTGTATACGATTGCATTCTTAGGCTACTGTGAGGTCCATGTTTCTTGTACCAGAAATTGTCCTTTTGACTTCTAGATCCTTCTCCCCTGATGTGTTTTGTATGTGGTTATAAAATTGTAGACTTTTGTGATTTTGCCAAAGTTGTAGCTAAATATTTATACACTTGTCTTGAATTTTTTTCAGATCCACTTAACTATTTAGAGAGAAAAAAAAGAACCACCACCACCAAACCCACCAAGTTTTATTCCTTATGTGTCCTATAAGGAATAAAATGGTCTCATTCAACACTTTTCCATGAACACTTAACAGTTGCTGAGGGACTTTCTTTTGTAACATATCAATTATAAATATTGTATTTATCGTTGAAATTTTGTACATTGCTTTCCCCGCCATCTTTTTTCCTTTTTCTCGTCCGCGTTGGTTCTGGGTCAAGGCCCAGTGTTTGCGACGCCGGGAAGAGCATCAAGCCAAGACTGTCTCTCTCGTCTGTTTCGTTAAAATGCATCCATGTCCTTGCGTTTCATTTATACTTAAAAAAAAATAATTTGCTATTATTTAGACTTTCCATCCTTTCTTTTTTTATTTTGAGGAAAAGTCAAATTCATTGTTTATTTTTATATTATTTTTAAGTTATCTGAACAAATACTTTTGAAAACAAAAAAAAACGTTCGTTGTATAGTCAAAACAAAACGGTGCCACCGGCTGTGACAAGTCCTAGTAGAGTCTGTGCATGTGGAACGGCCGTGCAGAGGGGACACCGTTTGGGGCTTGTCCTTATTTTATTATTAATATTTTTTTTGGTAGAATGTAAAAAGTCATTTTAGCTGCCACCCATGACTTTTGCCACATAGCTGAACTGTGTTTACTGGAAAAATTCAGAGGCCTAAAGTTTAAAATAAAATTTACTTCTGATGTTTTAATTAAAAATGTCTGCCACATGAACTTCTCTGATGCCTTAAAAGTGGACTTCTTTAAAGATCCTTTGTGCGATTTCATCGCAGGCGTACACCACAACTGTTAATCCGATCTCATTTGGAAACGTACGGTGTTAACACACACACACACACTCAAGCACAAACCTGGGGCCTGCTGGGTCCGGGTCCCTCGCTGCGTCCGGTCCTGCCGCCTCCTGCCGCCTCCCACGCTCACCTCGGGTGCCGGAGGTTTCGGGGGGAGGCATGACGGTCCGGGTTCTTTGGGAACGATGTTCCCCGTGTGGTCAGGCCCTGCAGCACTGTCTGTACTTTTTAAACTGGAATGACCTTCCCATCCTGCGCCTGTGAGCGCCAAACCCGCGGCCAGACCCCAAGGGTCCGCGCTTTCTCCCCTTTGCGTTCAGCATCTGCAGGCGGAGCAGCCAACGTTTTGCAAACTGCAGCGGGAATCAAATTTCAAACCGAAAGGAGGGGCTTTTTAAAAACTTTATGACAAAAAGCAAAACAATGCACAGCTTAGAAAAGTGTTCGTTCAAGGGACTAAGTAAACAGAAAGTCCCCAGCCCTCGGCGGGTCCCACGTGGGCCCCCTGAAGGCTGACAAGGCTTAGCTACGCGGAGAAGCCCAAGAAGTGACTTTGGAAATAAATCGCCTCCGTTTTCTTTGGTTTCGGTCAGGGTTTGATCTGAACACGAGCTCCCGCACGCCCGCCAGGGCGTCTGCCAGGGCCCTCACCCCCGCGCTCGGTGTGTGTTTTAGGTTCTTTAGCCAACAACGCCCTCATTGCTTTACTGTCTCAAATCTGAGCGCTTCACCCGATGGTAGATGTTACTGTTACAGACCCTACAATGAGATTGTTTTATCTGTACATTTTTTCAGATATTTAACTGTATAAAAATGTTCATTTTACACAATATTTAATTAAAGTATTTCTTGTCTGTGAATTTCACTTTGGGTAATTTTATGTTTTGGTTATTGAGACGCCCACCTGGATGCACACGCGCGAGGGACCCTGGGGGTGTCGTTTGCGTTCCTGGGGTTCCAGAGCATTGTCTTGGCCGACACGGAGGGTTCGTGGAAGAACCTTCTACAAAGTGATCCCGCCTGCGGAGAGAGAGTGTGAGTTACTTAGATGGCCTGGTCCCACCTGTTTCACGCAGACGGCTGCAGGTGACGGTCAGACTCGGGCCAGTGGCACTGAGGGACACGCACGTCACCAGGCTCACGGGGGCGTGGTCACCGCTCACCAGTCCTGCTGCCTCTGAACCGCAGGGTTTGGCCGGCAGAGCAGATGCTCCTTGTGTCCCCATCATGTACTCCCCTGGGCAAGGATCGGCTTTAGGAGAGCGTGGGGCAGGGCTGGGGGTGGGGCGCAGGCGGGCGGACAGCAGGGCGCCAGATACAGCCGCCAGCCGAGGTCTGACCTGAGGTCTGACGTGAGGGTATGGTGCCCCCGCCGACTCCAGGCCATGACAGGCCCCGGCCGCTGTGGGCTGCACGTGGGTGTAGCCAAAGGTGCCCACGGTCACAGGAGCTGCCGAGGCCCTAATTGACAAGCCGATTTCAGCTCCAGCGAGTTCTCCGCACCCCGTTCCATTTTATTCTGCGTTTGTCATCTCCTCCTCAACGAGAGGCGGTTTTGCATGTTTTGGCTCGCAGCTCTCACACATACACATACGTGTGATCCAAATTAGTGCTCACAAATGTCCCCTTAATTACTTGTTCTGCTGAGCAAAACAGGAAACAATTACTCAAAACATAAAGAAACTTGTGCCTCCCTCCTCCTCCTGCTGGTGCCAGTCGGTTCCTTTGACGGCATTTGTTTCAGCCTTAAAGAGGCAGCAAGGAAAGGGGCTCCGGGTACAAAGCTGCTGCCTGCCCACTCCCCTCCCCCAGGCTCCGTCCCAAGATACGAGGAGGGGGGGCTGGGGACGCAGTTCACCTGCCTCCCTGCTCTCGGGCAGGAGCCCAGCCTGGGATGGGGGCCAGGGCCCTGCGTCCTTCCTGGGGAGATAGAAGCGACTGTATGTTTGTGTTTCGAATCAGAAGCGAGAAGTGCCCTCTCTCAGAGCGGGTGCCAATTATTGTCAGGCCGCCTTTTAAGGCCTTTCAAGCTCTTAAAGATTATTCAAAGCACTCGAAATGGGCTTCAATCTAATGCCTCATTTCATTGCATTAAACAGCCCAGTTAATAAAGAATCGATATATTCAAAGGGCAAGGTTATCTTTTGTCTATAAGGGGTGGTGTCATTCTGCACCTTTTATAGTTCAAATGCTGAAAAAGACCTCATGAAATCCATACTCATCAGGCAGGTCACCGGGAGCAGCGGGGCGGCTGCGGGGAGAGGCGCCCCCCGGAAACCACTCCAGCCTTATCGCCGCGCCCTGCGCGCCAACCAGGCCGCGGAAAATGTCAATTTCTCATCAAGACAAGAGGCTGCGCTGATCGGCCTTTGCAGAGAATACACACAATTAGGAGAAGGCAGCCGGGCGGCGGGGCAGCCGTTTGGAGCCCCCTCCCTCCCCCACCGAGAGCCCCCTCCCACAGATGATAACAAGAGTTGTTGATAACTGAAGTGTCAATACGCCCAAGAGCGGCTTCTGAATGCGCGTCCTTGTGCTGGGCGCTCCCGCCGATGCCGGCCGATAAGGGCGCAGCTGCGGGCGGACACGGGGCTGGCCCTCACAATTAACGCCATGAATAAATCACACAAAGGGTCCGCTGCTTTAGACGCCGTGAGACAATCCCCCGCTTTACCCTTCAAGGGCTCCTTTTATGTGGGAATAAGGTTGCTTTTAATGAAATTTAAACTCATCAGAGGAAATCAAAAACCTCCAATCAGATTACAAATTGATTTTCTGGTCGTTTGTCATTTCCCAGTGTGGGGCCGCCGGTTTCCCAGGGAGTGGCGTGCGCGCAGCCCCGGCCGGGCCGGGGACAGACGGGCCGCTCCTGACCCTGAACACGCAGACCAGCTCTGACTCTGCCCCCTCCCGGTGGTTCTGCAAAAGTGAACCCACGACCGGAGTGGGTGCCATTCAGCTAGGAGGCCGGCCGAGGCCCCACCCGGGGACACCGCCGTCCTTGGCGGAACTGGCCGACGTCCAGGCGCAGCCAGGGCCACTGACGGCCGGCGGGCGCTCAGTGCCGGGGCTGCAGTAAGTCGGGGTTTGTGCCCACGCCCTGAGACTGCTCTGTGCCACACCCACAGAGATACCGGAGCCACACAGAGCCAGACGGAGCGCCAAGGGGTGCCACGGAGCCACACAGCCACGCAACCACACACTGGGCGCTCACGGTTGGGGGCAGCGAGGAAGCAGGGCCAATTCCTACTCAGTGTTCAGTCTCAGCCCAGGTGCTCGTCCCTTCGCAAAGCCTGCCCTGCCTGCGGGGAGGTCCCGGGACCTGCCGCGTGCGCCCTCCCAAAACCCGGGGAGCATCTAAGGCCACCAGCCTCCCAGGGTCCTGCTACGCACCTGACGGGCTGGGGCTTCCTCCCCATCCGCTCCTACGTCGGAGGCACTGGCCTAGCCGCGGTCCCGCGGAGCACCTGGCTGGCCTGGAGGGGCGCGCTGTTCCTCCTGGAGAGATGGGGCTGGGGACGGAAGTGAACATCATTTCTGATCGAGGTTGCCGAGACCACCTTGCATGAAACCATCTCTAAAGTGTGGCCAGTCTCCCATGTTTACGTGCAGCCAATAAGCACCGTCCTCACCCGCCCGCAGCCCCGGCCGGTGGTGAGCAGGACATCAGTCCCGTCCTCCCTTCTGTCCTCCCGGAGGAGTGCCACACAGAGCTGAGCTGGGTCCCCCTCTCTCAGGTGACAAAACTGCAGCTCAGAGAGGGGGATGACCAGCCAAGGTCAGAGGGCTGGAAGGACCAGGCCGGTGCCAAGTGAAGTGTCCAGTCCGCACCCACTGGGCCCGTGCACTGATGCAGGTCTCAGAGGCCTTCGGGAATTCAAGAGGCAGACCATTGGGATGGAGCCAGAACCACGCTCCCTGGGCTCCCAGCCAAGCTCAGGAGGACACACGCCGCCCCTGGCTCAGGGGGCCCGGCCACCTAAACAGATGGCAGCTGGCTTGTCCAGCAATGTTAGCTGCGGCCCAGAGGCCTCTCTTCAGGACCCAGCAAGGCCACAGGCTCACTGCCCCAGGGCTTCCCCACCACACCAGGGGACCGCCAAGGAGCCGCCCCCCACTCTCCCACCAGCGTCCTGGGGTCACACGTGGTCCACACCAAGTCTAGCAGCGTGTGGGGCACGGGCAGGGGCAACAGGCTGAGGGGAGGAGCCGTGCGCATGGGGTAGGGACAGCAGGCGTGCAGGCCAGGACTGAGGCAGCACACAGGGCGGGGCTAGGGCTGAGCCGGCCAGGGCTCAGGAAAGCGGCTGCTACCGCCTGACCGTGGGGACAGGGTGCGGACAGAGGAAAGAAGGCGATGAGGACTGAGTCAGAAGAGGCCACAAGGAAGTCAGAGAGGCTGAGGGTCAGGAGGGGATGTGGGGGTCCCACCTGCTGCCCGGTCAGACCGCTCCCGCCACTGCACTGATGGGGGCCACGCACAGCTCACGCCCCTGACGGCGGTGTGGTCGTTACCCAAGACCAGACCTGGTGTTTCTGCCGACGAGACACCAAGCTCTTCGCCGCCTCCCCGTGCCACTGCTGGGGGGCCAAAGCCGGGCTGGCGCCCCGAGAAAGAGAACCTGCAACAGTGACAACAAAGGGTCCACACTCCCAATATACAATGAGCTTTTGCAAATCAATAAGGCAGGACAGGCATCCTGAAGGAAAAGGGGCAAATTCACAGTCAACGTGCAGGGACAAGCGACCCAGAAGCTAGGGGACTACACGGGAGCTCACTTGAAATGCTCTCAGATGAAAACAATGAGACGGAGCTTATTTTCCCTTATTTAATTAGAAAAGACTTTCCTTAAAAGCTCGCATCAGTCCTGCTGGTGGAGAGAAGGGCCTTCTCCCAGTTGTCCACAGAAGCTGTAAGTGGCACCGCCCTTCCAGGAGCCGGTTTGGCGTGGTTATATCCAGAGACTTACCCGTGTCCGTACCCGCCCACCATGTCCACTTCGGGAATCGGTCTCAAGGAAATGATCGGAGCCTGGACAAGACTGTGAGAGCAAGATTGTCGCTGCTGTGCGTTTACCTGAAACACCGAAAAGAACCCAAATGTCTAAAGCCAGGAATAACTAATTGAATGACTACAATGGAGTAGTACCTGTTCCATTGAGACCTCATGTTGTCGAGTTATAACTACAAAACTCTTAACCCGTCTGTATGACTTCACACTGTGACGCATATTGGCAACTGGGTGTGAAATGATGGACGCGCCGCACATCTTACATGTGACACCAAAAGCAGGGGCCACAAAGGGAAAACGAGCTGGATGTCGTGGGAATCACAGACATCTCTGCTCCCACCAACACCCAGGAAGTGACAGACAACCGCAGGACGGGAGACACCTCCGGAAAAGCATCTATCGATCGGATACCGGTCTGTGTCTAGACCACACAGAGAACACGGATGGCCAATGAAAAGACAAATGACTCAACCTAAAAACGGGAAAACGATCGGAACAGACAGTTCTTCAAAGAAGACGTATCCATGGCCCAGAAGCACATGAAAAGATGCTCCACATCACTGGTCATCGGGGAAAGGCAAGTCAAAGCCACCGTGAGCTAGCGCGTCACGCCCACCGGTGTGGCTGCGATGACGACGCCAGGCAACGCCAAGTGTGGGCGAGGCTGTGGGGCGATCAGGGCTGGGGGGATGCGGCTGCGACCGCCACACCTCGGGGCTCCGCGCTCTGCAGTTCTTTTCTGTCTGAAGGCCTCGCTTCCTGGCATGTGGGACAGACCCTGCGCC